AAAAAAAAAAAAAAAAAAAAAATCGAGGACGCAAGTTTGGCGTGCAAAAAGTTCAGCTCGAGATTTAATTAAAACAAAACAAAAGCAATTATGATTCAATTTTAATTTTAGAAAAACAGTGAATTTCAATGAGCTGTGAAACCTTTTGAAAGTCATTTTCATGTATCGCCTTGGGCGAAATGCTTTAACGGATGGGAAAATCACGTCAAAACACTGAAATAAATTTACGATTTACACCAACTTATTATTTTGAAGGCTGTGAAGGTTTTGGAAATACAATTACTATTAAGGGAATATCGAGAAAAATGTCAGAGAATTCGAGAAACAACAATTAAAGGAAATTCTACCTTTTTCAAACTCTCGAAAATTAAGTTAGAGTCGCATACAAAAGCCCAGGGGAGGGGTGGTAAAAACTTTGTTTATTTTAACCATACAAATTTATCATACAAAACAAAATTTTGTACCAAAATATCATTAATATTTTCGCAACATTGGGCCTGCCTATATATGATTGAAATATAATGCGCAAAGATATTGCAACATAGGTTCTTATCTCTTTATGATTACTTTGGCCACACACAAACAGAGATTGATTTAGCTTATCTTTGAACAGATTTATATGGTTGATAAGAAAATATCAATCAATAGTAACCTTATATACATCTACATCTCAGCCTTAAATTCAGAAAAATGCACCTATAATCACTTGAATATCAACGAGAATTTTTTTATCGCGTTCAATAAAATTATTTTCAAAATACATATCAAGCAAAAGTCGGAAAAAATTAAAATATTTCTGAGAAGAAAAAAATTGACAAATTTTCGAATAGATAATTCAACTCACCTACTGTGCTTAGTATACCCTGGGTGCTAGAGGCAGGTATGCTTAGTAAGATATCTCTGTTTCGATCGAATATAAACTCTGGTGCTAGTGCAGGGTAGCAAAAATTAATGCAGAAGGACCGAGAAATGCTATAATATCTGATTGTGAAGTACTTGCATGAATACCGTCTGATGATATATAGTGATGATGATATTGATGTGGGAGTTTTGACGTCCCGTAGTGACAAAGGTCATTTCCAATCCAGTGATCTCATTTTGACTTCACGTTCCCAAGAGTTTTTATATAACATCCATAACGTTTTCCAGTACCTTTTCTTCAACGTATTAGGAATAAAGAGACTCGTTCATGAAAATATCTGGCTTTTTAGAGGATATTTTTTCTCTTTAACCGCCGTTTCTTAAATGAAAAGCTTGTTATAACTAATACCAAGTAATAATCAATAATTGGATAGACATTACCATAGAAATTGCTTTATTGCTAAGCACTGATTTGACAGCCAATATCTAGTACATTCGGAATGTTTGCATCAAACAAATTTCACTTTTTCGTGATGTGTCGAAAAGATGGAGTTCTCGCGCGACATACAGTCGGCCATCCAGCTGCTTTCAATCAGTTGGTGGCCGACCTATCAAATCATCACAAAATTTTGAAACTCTTCGCGGGGATTCAAATCAAATCAGTTTTGTTCAATAGATCATTATTTTTATTTCTACATTCTAATTTTTTGTATCCATATGGGATAGACTTTGTAAGGAAAGATCTAGATATGATATAGTAAAGAATGAATATAAAATAAAAAAACAAATTGGGTAAAGTTTAGTATTTCATTCTTTTCTTTTTTCACTTTGTGTCACAATTTTTAGAGTGAAACAAACTGATAGAATACTTCGTAAAAAAACAACAGATAAACTCATTAATATACAAGATATAAATAACAAAAAACGTTTATTAGATTACCAAATATTCTTATATTTGTAGCATGATATTTTTCATTTGTGTTCGCTCATAATTTTGGAATGAAACGATGTAATAGAATAAGTACATTGCAAAAATAAAGAATAAAAACCGATAAATTCATTAATATACAAGATATAAATAGCATAAAAACGATTAATAGATTGCCAAATTTAACTAATTTTTTGACGGACAATGTAGAAAGATGCGCAGTTGAAATCAGTGTTATTTGGCCGAAGATAAAAGAGAAGTAAACCAAACCAGGTTGGTTGGAAAAAAAAAAAAAAAAAAAAAAAAGAAAGAATTAAATTACTAAGTACAGGCATTAATCCCAGCAAGACACCCTGAATAATAATCATATAAATAAATGCGTTAAATTTAGGATATTACAGCATGATTTGGTTCTAACTTTCTTCCTTTCCATTCAATATTTTCTCTCGTTGCTTTAGAAAACACTCTTACAGCACTTAAAAATTATCTTCTGGGCATCTTGGATATTTACCGAGGATATTTATTTATTCAACAAAATGGTATTCAAATAAAAGTAAACAGAAAATACACGAATTAACAGCTTTGGAAAAAGCTTTTTTTCACATGGTTCGGTTCAAAATTACACATACTTCAATCCCACTTGAAATAAATGCAGTCAACATCGTCAATGAAGCTCTTCATTTGAAATTAAATCTTTCCCAAATTCAGGGCCTTTGAGAAATTTTATCCGATGTTTGCATTAGAATTAAACTCAATCCTTTGCAAAACTAATCTCAAAGCCCAAGAAAACATCCAAAGGAAATTCTGGGAATTTTTTCGGCATATGAAAATAACCTCTGGTTATTCTATCATCACCATTTTACAGCGCGATAGTAATATGGTAATTTTGTAACAATTAGATTTTTAAGCTTAATTTATGTCGTTATAGGCAACTGACGAGAAATAACTAGAAAATCATAAAATGGCTGATATTTTGAAGAGTTTCGGAACGTTATATGGGCATATCTAATTCTCAACGACGTGATTTTGGTAAGTATTTTAGGTATTATTCAGAATAAGATAATGATTATCCTTGTGAAGTATACATTACATTACAAGCTACGGTAAACTGTGTTTGTTTTAATAATAGCTGCTAATAGATCTCTTCAAAAAAACATAATTTGGGATCAAAATAATAATATAGAAAGAATAAAGCGAAAATAGAAAGAATAAAATAAAATGAATCATATGGTTTGATGCAAATTTTCGATGATAATTTCAGTACTAGACTCACAAAACTAAAAGTAAAAAAGAGATTATTTAAAAAATATATCAAAACCTAGTTATCTCGCTGTATATTTATTATCAAGGCCTTCAAAACTTCAGTAGTAAGAGAATTATTTTTTCCCTAAAACACCTGGTTGTTTAAGAAAATACAAAGACAGTTTTGTCTTATACGAATTGTACTAACGGTCACAAACAATAACAAAATTTTTGAATATAAAGGATGCATTTGATATTATCAATGAAATAGAACTAGTCCTTTATTATGAGGAGAATTTATCCAATTCAAACAATTTGAGTTTTATACTTTTTCTAAGTGTTTATACAAATCATTATACTCTAACATTTTTTTGGGTCATGCATGTAATTGGTATTAAAGTAGCCGGGTTTAAAACGGTGATATGTATAGCAGTCAGTGATTCGAGATGTCATTTTGACTAGAGAAAGCCAACCTTTTGTAGGCGGAGGAGACGACCAAAAGATCGAATGAAACATCTAAAAGACTTCTACAATTTGTTTTTGACTGCAGTTTGCGACTTGGTGACCTTGGAGTAAAAATAGAGACGCGTTTGGGAACCAAAATGAATCGCTTTGCTCAACAGGGCAAGCATTTGTATCAAATGGTTGAGTGAATTTAGATCAAGAGCTAAAGAATAAAAACGTTCTGACCTGGGATAGTGAACTAGAGGATGAAAAACTACATTAAAAAGCACTTACCTCATCTCACTCAAGGCACTATTCAAACAAGAGTCGCAGAAACGATGCCCACATACTGATATCTGAACTGCATTTCGTACTGGAAGATGGCATATTCTACAAAGTAAATTCTCTGCTACGGCAGGAACGAAGAACGAACGATGTCCCGGCATTGCAAAAATCGCTAAATTGAATCGCAATTTAGGGTAGCATCCCTTATAACTCTCCGTGAACTAGTAAACTTTTCTTTTCGCGGTAGCGGCGCTCGATTGACAACCGAACAGAAATGTTTTGTGAATATAATTATGTGACCGCAAAAGAAGTGAGCATGCGCAAAAGTCACGCACGATGCGTGACCAAATCAACAACAAATCTACATGACAATGTAAACTACAATCCCCTTGGAGAACTGTTTGCTTTTCTGACAAGCTTGAAAATTAAAGTATTCTAAGTGATCTCATTATTCGGTACTTTTTGTTGACTCTGTTATATTCTTGGATTGTTCAGGGTATCCTCGGATATTAAAGGATATTACGCGCTTCCTCCGCAATTCTCGCTCATTTTTCATTCCCCAAGAGATGTGAATTACATTTGTTTTTTCTCTTTCAAAATCCTTGTTACAATACTTTATGGAAATCATTAAAGATTGACGCGAATTTATAATGAATAAACATATTTGAACAGACGACAAACAAGCCCAGATCTGACACCTCATCAAAATGTGAAGAATTCAAMATTAATATGTTTTTATTTGCTCAAATTTGGAAACCTTTAAGATCATTTTCCATTTCTCGTTCCGATGAATTATCTTGGATGACCGAGTTGAGGACTGGGTACGAGCTTGATAAGTATAAAAACTACTATAGTGTATTCTTAATAAAACAAACTGCGATACCTTGAAGGTGTCGCTAAACGTAACATGAAATTACTTTATGTCAATCAAAGTTTAAATTTTTTTGACCAAAGCTCCTCATGGGAAACTGATGGATGAGGTGTACAAAGCGTGACGCGTAGTAAGTGTTGTACCTCACTGATGACGCTATCATCAATGAGTCACCCGCTATATGATTGACAAAAACTACAGTGGGGGTGGGGATGAGTCATCAATGTGATTCATGATCACGTTCATGGGTTAGCACACGCTCGGCCATATATTGGATTATAAAACAATAGAACCAGGCAGTAACACATTATTGTTTGACACTCAAAGGTTTGGCTTTCGGTTTGCGTGAACGAGTGAAAAGAGTTGACGTACCACAGGCAGCCCAGACAAGGTTTCTGTGTATATGAAGACTCGCGTCTCGGTAAATATACCCCGATATTCACTTCGCCTTAGGCGAATAATTGTTAATTGTCCTCGGTTCTGAAGTGAAGGCAATCAATGCTCACCTCCACACTGAGACAACTGGTTACCAACCCTACCCTGTTAGTCAACGGCTAATCTGAGAAATGTTTTTAAGCCAATCAGAATCGAGAAAAGTTGCAAAACTGAGGTGTCACTTTTCCTCTTGAACTATGGACTTCCAGGCCGCCAAATGAAAAGAATAAAGTTGCTAATAAGAGTTTGATAAACTGACATTTGAGTTTTATGTTTTTATTGCAATAGCGGGCACGCTCTTTTTATTTTCTCCTGGTCAATTTCACAGGCTTCATGACACCTTAGTTCTGCAATGAGGTCAAGATTTCTACGTCACTATTCCCACACGTAGCCCAAACTTGGTTTCTGTGGTGTCATGTTATAAGGAAATGTATGGGGATTCATCAAAAATTTCAATCATTGAAACGTGAAATAAAGCCTCGACATCATTTCTTTATAACATGACACCACAGAAACCAAGCTTGGGCTACCTGTGCTATTTCAGATTAAAAAACTGGTTATTAAAAAAAATCAAAGGAAAAAAATCGAAGGAGCATGCGTACTAAATCAGTTCCCCTGCTTTATTTTTTCATTGACACAAGTGATAATATTTAGAGTAACAAGAACTAATAAAATTTTAAACTTGTAAAAATGGAGTATTGAATTCAGTTACAGATTTACAGTACCACCTCTATTGATTTACAGTACAACCGCCCTTCGGTCAAGCGGCGGTTGATCGAGAGGTTGGCCGGCTAAATAGAGTTTTACTGTAATCACAAACACGACTTCGTGTGTTTGACCATTTTAATTATACAGCTTCTCATCAATCCCATATAGGTAACTGTTCAATTATTTTCTTAATTGGACAGGTCTTGTTGATATGGGATTAATTAGGCAGCTATATAATTAATAGGTAATGGGATTTCATGCTCCCCAATCAAGAAATAATTAGACTCGAAAAATTCCTCTGACTGCCAAATTGGACTCGGCCTACGGTCGTATTTCTTAATTGGACAGCATGGAGTCCTATTACATATACTAATTGACGGACGACAGTAATCAGTAATCTAAGACTAAACATGACTTGTGTTAACTATATCACTTATTAACTAACTGCCTGAAATACTCCAATAAGTGAGTTACTTGTGATCATTTTTCAAATATTATTATGTATACCCAAAACGTCTTTAATACACGCTAACATCTCTTGGGTGGCATCAATTAAACATTTACAAGGTATTGCGCAACTTTAAAGCAAAAATACGACGCCTGTATTAATCATGATTTATTACCCTCGGCGCGATCTAGTGTGTTGTGTTCGCGCGTGCGCATAGAGCTGTTTTCGTATGACTATGAAAAACTTAAGGCACAGAGCGCGCCTTTCCGTGACCGTATCAGGGACGTAACGCGCATGAAAACGCTCGAAACCCCGTTTCTTTCCAAACTCAGACGAAATCTGCTCTATGACTCAGCAATAATTATAAATGTGCGGAAGACTTAACTATATTCAGTTCATTCACCGATGCAATAATGCATTAAATATGACCCTTGTAAAGAACATGATAGCATTATCATATAAACTATGAGAAATAGTGGTGCTTAAATATGATAAGCAAATGTCATAATAAGTTATAATGACTCTCTGATAAAATATTACACCAGTTTCGAATTCGATGTATATCGCTGTTTTTAAAGACCACAGACTCGTTCGCACAAACGTAGCCTCGTTTATAAGTCATCCATTCACAGATCCTATTAAAAGTCTGTGGGATTTCAAAACATTGGTATTGTTGTTAAAGCTGCACATTCTTTGCATTACAGTTCTTTTYACAAATGATTTGCTCTTAAACAAGGCTAAGCCTGCGGAGATGAGACTTCGGTCATAAAACACAGCGGTATTTACCGAATGAGAAAAGGGACTATTCCAAAACCTTCCATTCTATTTAAAGATTTCTAAAACGTTTATACTACTAATACCACAATCCTTTTCGAATTCTTTTCTTGTACTTGAGCTCGTTTCAGAATCACAAGATAGTGTTGTTGATTAGGCCAACAAAAGGAGGGAAAGGATTCTGGCAGAAGTGGTATCAAGACCTTATAAAGGGGACGAAACATTTACATCCATTGTCTCTTTTTTACCCAAATGGGGTAAACTATAAATATAGAGTTAGTTATACTTTTAGTCTTTCCCAGGTTGAAAAAAAACTGGGTCGAGTTAGCTGTGCAGTGCATTGTGGGATTGCATTTGGTTGACATGGTTCCAAGATGGCGTCTATTTCGTCCTAAAACAGCCACACAATGCCAGCTCGACCTAATTCGTTCCTCAATCTGCGAATGGCTAATAATAGACTCCTTAAGCAATGAGCCGCTCATTTAGAGGACAAACCAAAGAATTTCAACTCTCATGCAAGACTGCAAACAAGTGCTGGTCATTGGACAATTGCCGGTAAAAATTACCTCTTTACCGGTAAATGATTCACCATGAGCAGGACACTATCTAAACAGCATCGCTCGCGTATTTACAGGTTAAATATGCCTCTGCCCTACTTGAAAAAACTTTTTTTGCGCCCTTGCTCATGAGAGTAATATGCTATTCTTTTTTTCCTCTCTGCGGTAGCTGCATTAATGGTTTTCACGGCCGCCATGTTGGAGGAATTTTTGTTATATCATTCAACATGGCGGCCGTGTCATTTGTTATTTCATTCCACCTTGGGAATGATTGAAAACCAGCAATTGAGACAACTCCCTGATTGAGATTATCCTACAAAGACTCTTATCACCCCTTGTACTAATTCCCAATCTGGGGGTCAAAACAAAAAAAATCCCTCCATTTGAGAATTGAAATCTTTTTTTGTTGTTAATATGTCCAATCGTTTTGATCCCCAGGTACGAATTATGTTGTATTTCGGCGGAGATCATCAGGTTTGATATCTCAAACACTAAGAACGTGAATCAAAAAATGAAACCTAAAACTACACGGTGTAGGGTGCGAGCATGCGTACATGCAATTCACTCTTACAGAGCGTACTCAGAGCCCTTATTTCTTACTGCGCATGCTCGACTCAATATTTCGACGAACATGCGCAGTACTGAAGAAATAAGGGCTCTGGGAACTTCATAAGATTGACTTCAAAGCACATTATCTTTATGTATTTAAATGTTACGGCACAATCAAGATTATGCTCAAGTGCATTGTATGTATATTTTCTGTGCTTAGTCGTACCTCTTAAAGTTGAAGTGTTCTTCTTGAGTGGTTGCCATGGCGACAACTGGAACCTTCTTATGCACATTTCATAATCCGCAACGCCATGAAAATTTTTTGGTAAGTTTACAATTAAATTTCTTCTCTACTCACGAATTCCTCAGCCTCTAAAATTTTTCTCCGCGTCATTTTGCTTACGTGTATCACTTTGGTAACAAGTCACTTTGTAAAAAGTTGCAATCAGCGGGCTCAAAATCAGCATTTGGTAGTATATCTGGTAGAAAGTAATTTTAGTATTTACTGAAAATATATTTATGAAATCGTGGAGTGAACTGGTTTGGAAAACATTGATGCTATTGTAAATTAGTGTTGTCGTCGTCGTCGTTGTTATAACTTATGACGTTAGAGTTATAATCTTACCAAGAATGTTTCATGGTGTTATCTATTCGCAATCTTTTCACAGTTTTGTACCTACTTAAATCAAATGTGCATAGAGAATCAAACATTGTTACGTTCATGGCTCGCTCAATCCGTCACAGTCGACGTTGATCTTCAAAAACACCGTGTCATCTTTGATGTAATTTCTTGACTCAATTTCTTCGTGTTTGGCAAACTTGGCGCCTCCGAAGCTAGCGTTTTTTTCCATCTTGGGTTTTCCAAGGAAAGGCTCGTTGTCTGGGCAGGGGTTTGGTTTGATGCTGAACTTGATGTGTTTTCTCTGTGAAACTTCTTCTGCCTGGTCCAGGAGGGTGAAGGTTACCCGATAATCAAATGGCCATTTCAGCAACGCATCAAAAGCACCTGGGGATCGAAACAAAATAGGATACTTGAATCTATGTGTCGAACCCTGAAAAAAACTTTGGGCTGATCATAGTGAGGACAAGTTTTTTTGTCAAACGTTTGACTAAAAGTCGTTCTTTTTTCCTATTTTGTTTGGCTACCTGTGGTATTGGACGGAATTTCCGCGCAAGAAACGCGTGTGCTTGCCTATCCAACCCTGGTACTCTCGTTACGCCACTGGAAGGTCAGTTCAAAGATCAAATTAGAATTTAGCTTGTAGGGTTTTGAGGTTGGAGCAGAACTGGAGAAAATGTAACCCCCCACCTCTCCCCCAAAAAGAGAGCAATGCAAATTCAGATCGGGGCATGCGCAACTGTAGCAGGCCTTCTCTCTTCTTGCATTTCCATTTTCCCCAGTCCCCATCGGCCGTTCTACACAAATGGCCCCCGCGTAAACTTACCCTTCAGCACGCTGACGAAGACTGACATGTGCGTTCCCTTGCCTTTACCATCACCGTTCAGACAGACAGACGCACACAGACGGTACCCATGCTTACTGGTGGTGAAGGTGGGGCTGAAGAGAGTGCTATTATTGCCAGCTTTTGCTTCTTTGAACTTCCTACAAAAAAGATACGCCAGTATATGATTACAATATTCCTTTTTCTTATTCGGTAAATACCGCTGTGTTTTATGACCGAAGACTCATCTGTATAGGCTTAGTCTCGTCTGAGAGCAAATCATTTGCCAAAGTCAACTGTAATGTAAAGGAGTGCGCAGCTTGAAAAATATCAATGCTTTGAAATCCCGTGGACTTTTAATGATATCATTCAATAGCTGACTTTAAAACGAGACTAAGCCTGTACGAATGAGTCTACGATTACAGTGATACCCGGCTCTCTTGAGCGGGTCTTGCCTAATAAAGCAGTTTTCGCACGACTGTGAAAAGCTCAGCGCCCACATAAGCGTGCCATGCCGTAACCGTGATGTTTTCCAGAATTTCTTTGGCGAATTTTTTCTCGCGCAATGTCTTTGGTCTGACAGTGCCGTGAAGTACCTATTAAGGGGTCGGCTTTTTACCTTGAATAATCCTCGATTCTCCAGATGAGTTGGCTGTGAGCGATCTTCTCCAAGTCCCCGATTCGTTGTTCCTGGGATTTCATCACCTTCTCGTGTTCTTCCAGTTTTAACTGATGCGAGTCGAGCATCATTTTGTTCTCCATCATCATCTTGTACACAATCTTAACGTGGTTTATTATCTCTGACTTGTTGTGCTTGGCCATTTTTTCTCGACTACACTGTGGAAACAAAACAAAACTTCATATTTTATGGATTTCCTGAAAGACGACCGGGAATCACTGGGGCGAGAGAGTTTCTGGAACCCAGGATAACTCAAAGATTGGAAGCGTGTCAGGTTTGGGGAAGAAAGAAAGCCTAGAAAGCCGGAGAAACTCAAATCAAGAGAGAGAAGAAACAAACTCTATTCACAAACTCTATTGACACCCAAAACAGAAAGCATAAAACACCCAATCAGAATAGACCCCCGGCAAGTGACGTCAATCCGGGTGTCCAAATGAAAAATGTTTACGTGAAAACGTTTTCAAATATCATGAGAAGAAAACTCTTTTGTTTGTACCCCCAGACAAGGAATTCGTTTTTGGGGTGTATACAGATATATTGGACTTACTAAAGCAAGAGTAAAAATACTAGATCTCCCAATCTCGTACCCAGAGCCTGCGTTTCTTCTGGCCTGCAGCGAAGAACGAGGGCTCTGGCATAATCCATTTTTTTAGACCAGGATTTCTTGGACTTCCGGTATAAGAGCGCATACGTTAAAAGACTTGCCGAAAATTAAAAAAATATGTTCCCGATTTCTAATTTTTATTTTGATCGGAAGTAAACACAGAACTCTGTTTGAAAGCATGATTTTCATTTATAATTTTTTTAAATTCCGGAAAACCTCCGGAAAATTGCGCATGAGTCAAAAATGGATTATGCCAGAGCCCTCGTTCTTATCCTACGCAACCGCTATTAGTGTCGTCATGCGATGCTCGTTCCCCTCGGCTTCGGTAGGAAACTAGAGATCTCATGCTTAAAATTAATCGTGTGCTTACCCTGTGTTCGCAGCCAAGAGCCTCAAATTCACACTTCAGTTTGGTCCTTGGGCAATCGACGTCGATGTGGTGATCAAGCTGAGGACGAAAGAAAAATTGATATTACATCAAAACCGACCAACAAAATGCAAAAGAGACCCAGACGGGAGCCATGAACAATCAACACATGAGAGATGACAGAACGAACCTCATTTCTTGGGAGAGTCAGCTTCTTATCACACTTGTTTGGACAAGGAAGTGGTAATTTTGGACATTCCTGTAAATGTTCCTGAAATGAATAGAAATCATTGTTGAGAAACTACGGAGATTTAACCAGCTGCAGTGGATTTCTTTCTAGTTCATTACTTTCTTTTACTAATTATCTATTTTCGTTTTTGCTTCCATTTATTATTATTTGATCTTTTTTTGCATCCATCTTTTGTTTGTTCCTTTCTCACTTTTCTATGCCTTTCTTTCTTTTGCCCCTTATTCATTCTTTCTTTCTTTCATTTCTTCACGCTCTTTTTTTTTCTTTTTTTCGTTCATTTTTTCCTTCTCTCTTTACTTCCTTTTCTCTTTCCTTCCTTCCTTTTTACTCTTTCTCTCTTTCCTTTTTTCATTTATTTATTTCCTCCTTTACTCTCTTTCTTTCTTTCTTAGTTATGCTTAAAACACTTCCTTTTTTTCTCTTTCCTTCCTTCCTTTTTTCTCTTTCTCTCTCTCACTCTTTTTTCATTCATTTATTTATCCATTTATCTCTCTTTCTCATTCTTAATTATGCTAAAAACATTCAAAAAAGATTCCCAAATAGAAATGTTAGTGGAAATATTAATAATTTACCTTCTTGTCTTCCCTGAGGTGTCTATCATCACAGTAAGGACACGTGACAATTTCCTTGGGACAATCCTTTTCCATGTGTTTCTTTTCGAAACGCCTCTGAAATTTGGCGCCACAGTCATTGACACACATCCTTTCACCATACGAGCAGATTTCTTTCCAGTGTTGCTGTTTGAAGACATAGACGATATCAGTTATACAGTATATAGAATTATCATTATCATCATAAGATTTGAAGCTTTTAACTTTATCGATACTGTCAAGACGTGAATCTTGGGAACGGCAACTTGACTCAAAATTGAATACTAGTTCTTTTTAATCTATAATTTCAATGATCTTATTGATCTTATCAACTTAAATAGTCGCTGCTTAGATGAACTTTGTAGGAAATATTTCTTTATAATTGAATTAATTATTGTACGAATAGTACGAATAATAGGCGTATAATATAACTGAAATGCTTTAACTCTAAACAATGTTCATTTTACTGTCGTTCTTGCTTGTCCTTTCTCGTGTTATTCCGTATTTCTCTCTTCTTCTTGTGCCTTGTTCCAAACTGGTCTTTCTCTGTTGTTTCTGGTCCTTCTCTGCTGTTTTAGTCGATCCTTCTCTGCTGCTTTGTTCCTTCGCTGCTCTAGTCTTCACCTCTCAAGTCAAGTGCTTTCTTCTCTCTCTTAATTTGACTTACTTATATTTATAGTATAGACTATTCTTTCATTTGGTGATGTAACTTTTTCACCAATGCTTTGTCTTATAGTTGATCCCTCTTACGTAACTTCGTTTTAATCATAATCCCATGGCTATTCTCTATTGAATACAGAAGCCCGGAGAACCCGGAGAACCCGGAAAAACCCCCTTGAATCAAGGGAGAGACGTTAGAGACACTAGAGGCACTAGACATTATAGGCAATTGTACTACTACTGCTATGCCATCCACCTTGATTTTTATGATGCACTATACTGACTCGCATTTCAACCCTGGGGTATTAGGTTCGATTCTTCATCTCCTCAATCCAATTGTTGGGGGCTGGGTACCCTCAAGGGGTTTTCTCTGGATTCTTTGCTTTTCCTCCATCAACAAAAGCAAACCCGATTAATTCTAGTTCCTTCTTTGAGCCGTGCTCGGATTTGTATCAGCCCAAGCCTAAAGGCAAGGTTTTTTTCATGGTTCAATAAAATTGAAGGAATTTAATATTTCATATTAAATTAGATATACTTAATATATTATATTTAATTTAATATCCTCATTATTATTAGTAATAAAAAATAATGATGATTAATAATAACTGTTTGCCAACCTGGAACTCCTCGACTGGTCCTTCCCATTTGCAGCCCCAATCTCCATAGTATTTGCACCTCACCTCCAGGGCTTTAACTTCATCGTTGAAGGCTGTGTCATCTTCCTATTAAATAGATTTATAAACACAGAAAATATGAATATGATGCTCCTAAAGATCTAGTTTTCATTTCACAAAAAAATCTTGGACGTAAGCCTAACAGGAAAAACTAACACGTCCTTTTTTCACGAGGGTAGCACTTAATAACCAATGGCTAACAAACCTGTGGCCCAACTTTGGAAGTTGACTATATATTTCTTAGATTTAGCAATTTTTTTTATTTCTCCTACCAGCAAGTTACATCACACTTTTTCTCGTTGTGTCATTTCTTTTGTATTTCAATATTTAAAAAGTACATTGGCTTCGTTTGTGACTTGCTATTTCCCAAAGAGAATTGCTGAGAAGTGAAAATCCTATCCCAGACTTTTGGCAAAAGAAACTTCAAAGAGCATTCGTAAGATTTCTCATAGTATATAACTTATGTTCCAAATATTTAACTTAGATGATTTTCTAAGTATTTGAATTTTTGAAATTTTTGGCCGCTATTCAGTATTATACGTAATTTATTCAAAAATAGCATTGAATAAAATGAGAAAAAACTGTCAAAGATAATTGTATACCTGTCGTTATTCTTGTCAGTATTCAGCTAAGTCGAATTCATTTAATTATTTATTTTAATGGAACAATTTAGTATTTTTTTCTTGGGGAATTAAAGAGAAATTGAAGTGAAAGCATGGCTGAGTTCCCATTAAAACAAGTTGGTTAGAATCACTCACTTGTCTTCAACACCAAATGAAGAATAGAGAAAACACAGAGGTGTACATATATACTTACTGCTGGTACAGGCTCCATTTGCAAGTTGTCGGTTGGACATCTTTTCTCCGAACTGAAAATGGGAGTAATGGTTGCACAATTATTCAGTATTTTAAAACGGTTTCTCGGGTGTGATTAGTTGTTTAGTAGAAGCGATAATAATACTGCTGCATGATGGTTATAAATTAAATACGTACAATGGAAGTATGTGAACTGAATAATATTATAACCTATAATGATGATACTAATGAAGAGGAGGAGGAGGAGGAGGAGAAGAAGAAGAAAACAAAAACAAGAAGAAGAAAAAGAAGGAGATAGAAAAGAACGAGAACGAAGAGAATGAGAAGGACATGACTAAAAAAATTATAACATCGTTATTATCATTATTATCATAATTTATAATATATAGTAATAATATTTATTATCGAAATAACAGATAGAGAGTTTCAAGAAATGAAAACCGAAAGTACCCTGCATTTAGTCCGATTTTTACCGTGGTTGCAGTTTTCGACACAAGAAAACATACTGCTTTATCCGCAAGGTATATATGACGTAACTTGCAATCCCTAATCTTTCCAATTGTTCAAATTATTCGAATATTGAAACTGAAATCGCAAACTATACCTTCAAAACCAGTTATCAAGATCGACAAATTTGTATGAAGCTCATGCAACTCTAGCTTTATACCAATTTCCACGAATCTTCAATCAAAATAACATGCAAACGAAAAGTTATGAAAATGATAATGTATACGGTCGGATACTCACAAGTTTTTTTTCTTCAGAAAAGCTATTCCGTTGTCAAAAACTATGAAAACTAGAAAAGTTAGATTTATTATCGTAAATTGGAAAGAAAAAATGAATCAAAATCTCGTGGAAATAAAAACATAACGACTGAATCATTAAATTATTTTTCGCTAATTTTTACTTCAATTTAGGATAATACTAAAACACACTGAAAAACGGCTTGTATTTCTCAGCTCGGAAGACACTGGTCTATTCACCATCCATTTGTTTCATTATATTCACTAAATTTTCAATTGTAAAATTTGTAGTTTTTTCAACCACGAGACAAAATAACTGATGGCCTAATAAACTATGAAAATGATTCCATCTACGAAGACCGGCCGTAAGTCAGATCAAAAGTGTTAAATAATAAAAAGAATGCGAGCTAACCGACTGGTATAATTATTGCTTACCTCAATAATAGTTCCTTATAGCAGGGATAACAGACTCTGTGGCCGCAAGGTTTAATCTGTACTGCATAGCGGAGAAGCTCATTACATTTTGGGCAAATATATTTAGCTTGAGCTGGGAATAAAAGGTCGTTTTTTGTTGGGTAATGCTCGGCTTGGCTGCTTCGAGAGCGAGTGCTTCCAGTTGGGCTCGGAGCTCCTCCAGTCATTGTGTTCTGAAAAAAAACCCAGGAGAAAAGGCTTACATTTTGAGCAAGAGTCGAAAGAATTTTCTTGTATGTCCCACGTTTCTGTTTTAAAAGGATAGCTGTGTTTTTCTCTCTCTCGAGGGATTCAGTCAAAGTGGACGGCTGTGTTTGGAGATGGCTTTATCATAGCGCCCAGTGGTTGCTAACCTTTTTGATGCATTATACGGATTGATGTGCAAGCCATCAATAATACGATTGCGTATTTCGTGTTTTTTAAAATATATTCAAAGCGCGTATTGGATATCTCTTACAGCTGCGAGTGCTTTTTCGACCAATCATTTCACGCCTATCTAAGCTCCAACAGAAACGTTTCTAAGTACCATATATCTATGCCATTCACTAATAATATTTCCCTACAACCTAAAAAAGTATCTACCTAAATTGTTGGGAAGAATGACTTCATAAAACAAAGATCGAGTTTAGCACCGCGAAGAGTTTAGAATACACAAGGTTTTCAAAGGCGAACATGAGTTGTCATAGCGACGCTTTTATTTTTCCCGAACTTGTAATTAGAAGTCGAATTTGAAAGTCAAATGTTGACTACCATAGCACCTGCCCAAACACGTAGCTACGAAGCTCTTCTTCCTTTCATTTGGTTGACAACCTCCTTGACGTTTCACTAACAATCGCGAATATCAGACAGTATAACCAAGAGAATGATGCATAGAACAAGAAATGGAAACTGATGATTTGAAAGAGCGGGAAAACGTCTAAAAGACTTTTAAAACGATGCTTCTTCAGCTTTAGCAGTTTGGTTCTAATGAACTTAATAAATAATTTATAGTCCAGTCGGAAACAAAGATCAAAAATTTAGAAAACTTATTTTCGTTTGAGAATCCATTTTTTTTTTTTAATTTTATAGGATCAAATGTGAACTTCCAGCGATGGGACTGACATAAAAAATCAGTAGAAAATTCATGGATTTGAGCAATCACAACTATAACTTGGGTTATTAGCTTTGAAGAAATTATCTTAATCAGATCTAGAAGTTGCATAAGCTATAATAGCATTAACCAAATTACTAACGCCGACACAGCCTTTTTAGTTGTCGTGGCGATCTTAGAACAAAGTATAGGGAAAGCTACGCTCGCTTGGCTATTGATTCAAAACTATTGTATTTCACCATTGCCAATGTTAAGCTTCCGGTACCTTTATAAACTCTAATTTACAGCAGTGTATATTGCCCGATAGCTTTATCGCGACTCTATCAATTAGAGAGTGCTAATGAAAATAGTAGTAAATTAAAATGAATAAAAAAATTATTTGTTGGTGTTTTTCTTTTACGCTAGAGTTGGTGTTATGATAACCAATGAAAGGGTTTTGAATTACCAAATACTATACAATCGCTTGATAATGACTATCGTGATATCAATTCACATAAAAAACTATCGTAAATAATCAAAGTACTATTAACTGACCTCATTATTGCTATTATCTAGGACGTTTTTTGGTATAAATAATAATATGGCTATATATTACCTACTCACTCTAATTACTACCAACACCTTGAAAAGTAAAGTTATAACTTTTATCACCCACTACCAACTATATGTACTGAAAAACTACACATGACCATATATTACCTACTCACTCTAATTACTACCCACATCAACAATACAACTACTACGAGTAAGAAGAATTAGAACTATTATCATCCACTACCAACTATATGTGATCATACATTAAATATCCACCCGTTCGAATTGCCGCACCTATATTATAATCAAGTATACTGCTATCACATAACAGAATAATTATAACTTTTATCACCCACTATCAACTACTTAATCATCAACTAAAACTACTGCTAAACTAACATAATCTTTATTAACATCATTTTATCATATCACTTGCTAATATCGTAATCATTCACTTCATTACCCATCAACAACCAACATTTCTAGCCTATTTGTTAGGTAATTCTAGAAAGCAAAAGCCTTGAAAAGGGGTCCCAGAACACTTCCCTGGGTACACCCCAGTCGATAAACAGAAAATATCTTCATTCTCTACTTTCACATCCTCATAATACTTTGCGTCTTTGGGGGGTAACCAGAGGGTAAAACCCCACTCAGACAATGTTGACCAAAAATAAAATGAAGAAGTTAAAAACAGAAAAAGATAGAAGCTTGAAGACGTTTAAGGTAAATTTTTCGTAAGTCAATACATTTTCTGTAAGACCAAAACTCTTGACGATCTGTACACGCAAAAATAAYTTGGAATAAACTGATAATCAGTATTGTACAGATAAAAGCAGGTATAGTATAAATTCAATTAAGAAACCTTTCAATTTGGGACAGTTTTTAGATTGTTTACCCATCCAAAGACGCAAGGCATTATGAGGATGAGAGAGTAGAGAATCAATATCTTTCTTTTCCTAGGGTATTTCTCCACCTATCGATAAGTTAACTATTTCCATTCAAGGTTATCTTTCAATAAAGACTTTAAAAAGCGCTGCTAGAAGTTTGAAAACTTTAGATTATTCTCGAAAAATAGCAAACATTTCACTGCTCGTCTCGAGCATAATTTCAATCTTCATGCTTACGATAAAAGCTTTTCTTAGATTAACATACGTAAGTATCAAAGTAGCCGCTTTGTTCTGAACAACCTAGGCTTCAGTGAAGTCAGCTACCCGGGAAATTGACTACCTTGTAACTAAGGTAACGCAATGTTGCTTATAGTAATAAAAAAAAAAAAAAAAAAAAAAGAAAATCAAATTGTTAAGAAATCGCGTGTTCATAATAATTTGATATGTCATTACTAATTCCCCCAATTCCTATTCACTTTTTAATTCATTCATTTTTTCAGACTAGTTACCGATTCTTTGAATAAAATAATCAAATGTTTATTTTTCAATGGATTTTTAAGCTATAAAGCGTAGAAATGTGAAGAGTTAAGACAATATGATATTTAATTTTGTGAGAATAACTTCCGCTTCATGGAAACTACTTGCTTTTCGTGTTTGTTTAGCAAGAACAGAAAAGTTAGAGATCTTTGGATTGGTCAAACAAATGACGTGCAGATCTATAACCGGTAATCATTACAAAAATCATGATTGCCTTCATTAGTGACGTGTTTGACTCTGAATCGCGTGATTAGGGGGGATGTCACGAAATTTGGTATATATATAGACAAGAAAATGACGAAAATAAGGCAGCAAAGAATAAGAATTATAAAATGGGAATATTATAGCGTCAATTATTTGAAAAAAGCTGTCATGAATGATAAACAATGTGATTAGTATAACTAAAAATTKTGCGCCATGACGCAGGATTTTGTCTCGATTAAGAATTGAAGACAATTGAAATTTTATGTGTACGGATATTAATGGAAGAGAAAATCAATAATGGATCGAATTTACCGACCAACTATGACAACAGTAAATTGAAAGGGCTGCTTTCGATATCAGACTAAGGCCCCGTACACAAGTATCCGCAAATTTTTGTATCCGCAATTTCTTTTTTACGGATACGGGTTGCGTCCACAAATTTTTGTGTTCGTATCGCCAAATTTTACGAAAACGGATACGTGTGGACGGTGAAAACGATTCGAATACGCTTCGTGTGGACGCAAACATTTTCGTATCCGCAAAAAATAATTTGCGGATACAAAAATTTCCGGATACGTGTGGACGGGGCCTAAACTCGACTTGACTTGACTAAACTGTTGGTTTTATTTACATTTAAATAAAAGTGTTTCTCTATCTTTGAGCTAAATGTTTTTTTTTTGTTATTGTCAGTAGGGTGTTGGTGCGAGGGTCCAGGATTCCTTTTGATATCAGAGGCAATATTAGCCACTGACTTTAATAAACTATTGTTTTCATTTACATTTAAATAAAGATGTCTATCTATTTATCTAGCTAGATCATCATCCGATTCACGATGGTGTAATCCAATATGCAACGGGCTAGCAACTGAAAATGAATTACTGGAGAACTATTGAACCGACCTTTGGACTACTTACGAACCGACCAACATAAGCAACATCTAATCGAACTGATATCCTAATAGTTATAGACCCACCGACCATTTAGTAACTAACTGATAATAACTATGTGATGATAATTGATAGTTTAGTAAGGGTGCGCAGTAGGTCGGTGCGCAGGGCGTCAGTGTCCAATAGGCCAGTGCGTCAGTGCGCAGTAGGTCAGTGATTAGTTGTAGAGTGGGTCAGGGTGCAATGTCTATCCTTAATTCGTGACCATCTAATATTAATAAGGTCTAATTACAAAAGTTCAAAAGTTATCCATAAATATTTGACAAATTCCTATCACGGCTCCTCTTTTTATGTAAAATTCGTTTTTTCATTGAAGTAGAAGATACCCGAGGCTATTACAGAAAACAGGAATGACAAACTAAAATCAACAAACAAACAGACAGACAGACAGACGAACGAACCAAACTATGCGACAAAAAAATATAAAAATAACAAAATTGAAGCCCAAACCTTTCGTTTTCAATTCAATTTCTTTTCTTCTTCCTTTTCCCATTTTTTCGTTTTTAATCCTAACTGGAAACGAATATAATTCATTGGTTTGATTCCACAAGCTTACCCTATCCTTTATAAATTTACTTGCTAAAGATCAAAAGTATCGTTAACGCTGTCTTTGTAAACGACTTTCACGACAAAGCAGAAAAGAAGAAGGATAGAAGCAAGCTGATTTTTCGTTCTTTAGGAGCCTTACCTCAAGTTTTTGAGCCGCTCTTATCTGCTTCGCAAAATACTCCGGCCTCATATTTCTTCTTCTTTGAAGCATAAATTTGCCTTATTATCGTTCGAAGTTCCCTTCAGCCTAAAATAAACCGTTCCCAACAAGACCGCTAAATGACTAAGCGCTTTTGAACATCAACAAAACCATCTTGCTTCTTTCAAGTATTAAAAATAGCGCACGAAAGTTAATAACGGAAACAATTACTTTATCATATAAGTTAAACCCTTAAATGTCATTATTTTTTCGGTCGTTTAATTTCTCAGTATTTATTGAAGCTGTCGGGTCAATGCTTTGACTAAAAGTCTAATACGGGATAGAAAGCTACTTTAATAGCAAAATGATCTAATTTCGTAGAGATAAATTACAAAACCTTCAAAGATGTCGTATGTTATGCCCAGACAGTCTTGGAAATACGAGTAGAAACGCTGAGCTTAGTGGCTTGTTTTGTCGATAAATAATTTAGAAGTAAATGATCCTTAGATAGTCCTCGTAGAGCTGTCCCATTAAGGCTGTCAAAAGTATTTGGTAATTGACAGCTTTTAAAGGAATTAATCTTATAAAGTGCAATCTATTAAGTTGATGGAATTTGAGTGAAAAATGACATAAACTGACTTCCAAAAGTGCATGGTTATTTTATTTTTAGGAAAAAAAGAGGAGATGAAAAAGGAAAAAAGGGGAAAGAATGACAAAAAGAAGAAAAGGGAAAACGTCTCAGTTTTCTTTATTCCTTCCCAATGTGCATTCAGACCCCCATGTCTCCAGTCTAGATTGAAAAAAAGCAAAAAAAAAGCAAAAAAAAAACAAAAACCCAGAAAACAAATAAATAACACAGAAACAAACAAACAAAACAGAAACAAATTAACAAACAAACTTAAAAATCAAAACTAAGAAACAAACAAACAAACCAACTAAATAAATATATACATAACTAAATAACGGGGTCTTCAACAGGACGTTTGCATGATGGCGTTATGACTCCCACTACCACAATGCTTCGCGAATTTTCTTTCTTATTTAAATTTGTATTCCCTCATGAGTATAGTAAGACAATATGGTGCTGATTAACTGAACAAAAGAAAGTGTGCAATTAGTCTGGTAGTAGAGGTCAATGACGCCATCATGCAAACGTCCTATTG